CTCTGGTTCCCAGCACTGCACCAGCGGCTCCCTTTCCTCCACCCTTGCTGCAGGCCTTGTATGTAGCATGTGTAGCAGGTACAGGTCTGAATTCTGCTACACCAGAGAGCAACACGGTGGGCTTTGCTCTGAGAAGCACTCTGGAGCCAGCTCAGGAATCAGACTGTGGATCCAAGGCCTTCCCTGGTACTCCTGACACATTAGCTCCATGGCCTCCACTGCTCAGCTGCAGCAAAATGGGACCGGTGAGCAGGATAGTGTGAGGATTAGTCTGCGTCTTCTCCGCTAGATGGCAACCTCTGCCTGGACAAGAAATTTCCCCTTGGATCCGTCACCTTTACATCCTCAGAGAACCTGCTCAACGCTTGGACATCACTGACAAAAATACACGTTGACCAAGTGACCAAGTGAGAGATGGTTTTCCACAAGAGAAAGGGTGTGACTGTCCACTTTGGGGGAGATGGTGCAGCATGGTTGGGATCTGTTAAAAGATACACTAAGGCATATTAAAACTTTTAAGAGTTTATTTGAGCAAAAAATCAACTCGAATTGGGCAGCCCAAAACTGGAAGCGCTCAGCTCCTAGGAGCCAGGTGAAAGACACGGAGGTGGTGCTGAAGCAAAGGAAGGAAAATATTTAATTGACTACAACTTCAAGCCTACTTGGCTAGTTGTGATTGGTTGTCCGTTCTGATCTTGTAACCCTGAGGCATTTACAGGCACAGACTGTGGTTAGCTTACACAGCCTCCACGCTTTGCAGCCTAATGGCCTCCCTGTTTACTCAGTTTACCAGATCTGACCTGTGTCCTAACCACAGGCTCCTGAGCAGCCAGATTGGCCTATCTGCTCTCTCCCCAAAGTAACACAACTCCCCACACTTCCCACTCACTTCTCTCACTTCGTTTAGTCGTCAAAGTCCTGAGCTCCTTCCACAGCAGAAAAGATGAGTCTCTCTCCACTATCTGGGAGCCTAAGTGGGATGGGGGGGAGGGGGGATGCAGGTCAGACTTGAATTCTTGTTTTGCCCTTTCTGGCTCTATGACCTTGGGTAGTTTCTTCTAGTTGCAAATTACCACACAACAGCTTACGACAACACGGTTTTGTCATTTTACAGTTCTGCGGGCTGGAAATCTGACACAGTTCTCACTAGGCTCAAATCAGCATGCTGGCAGAGCTGTGTTCCTTTCTGAAGTCTCATGGGGAAAGTTCACTTGTGCTGCAGACTGAATGTTTGTGTCTCTGAAAACTCACAGGCATATGGAACCTAATCCCAATGGGATGGTATTTAGAAGTAGGCCCTCTTGGGGGTGATTCGGTCATGAGGGTGGAGCCCTCCTGAATGAAATTAGTGACCTTATAAAAGGAACTCCAGAGAGAGCCCTTGTCCCTTCCACCAGGTGAGGACACAACCAGAAGATGGCTATCTGAGATCCACGAAGCAGGGCCTCACCAGACACCACATCTGCTAGGGCCTTGACCTTGGACTTCCCAGCCTTCAGAACTGTGAGAAATAAATTTCCATTGCTTCCAAGCCATGCAGTTTATGGTATTTTTTTAATATTTTATTGATTTTTTACAGAGAGGAAGAGAGAGGGATAGCAAGTTAGAAACATCGATGAGAGGATCATTGATTAGCTGCCTCTTGCACTCCCCCTACTGGGGATGTGCCCGCAACCAAGATACATGCCCTTGACCAGAATCGAACCTGGGACCTTTCAGTCTGCAGGCCAACGTTCTATCCACTGAGCCAAACCGGTTTCGGCTTTATGGTATTTTTTATAGCAGCCCCAACTGACTTAGAGAGTTTCCCGGTTCGTCTTTTCCAGCTTCTAGAGGCTGTTCACATTCCTTAGCTCATGGTCCCTTAGCCCTATCCTTAAAGCAAACACTCTGAAGTCCTTCTATAATCACATCTCCCTCTGCCTCCCTTTTAAGTACCTTGTGGTTATTTGGGCCTACCTGGATAATCCAGAATAATCCCCCTATTTTAAGGTCAGGGATTAGCAACCACAATTCCACCGGAAACCTAGGTTCGCCTTTACCAGGTAACCTATTCACATGTCGCAGAGATTAGGACATGGGCACCTTTGGGGGAGGCCATTATGCCACTTAGCACAGACCTAGAGTAATTATATTAATTCTCAGAGACCATTTCTTTATGAAGTGGAGTTCCTCCAATAAGTGGAACAGAGATTAGAGATGGTGATCATATCGGTCATCTATTGCTATGTAACAAATTACCCCAAAACTTAGTGGCATAAAACAATATTCCCACAACCTTTATTTGGGTCAAATTAGTGAGCAGCATAGCTGAGTAGTTTAGTGTGTCTTTCCTCCGGTTGTAAAGATATTGGCCCAGGCTCTAGTCATTTGGAAGATTGGCTCAGGCTGAAAGCTTTTCAGACGGCTCCCTCCCTCGGGGGCTGTTAGCTGGAGGCTTCAGTTCCTTGCATATCAACCGGTCCAAAGGGCTGCTTGAGTGTCCTCACAATGGGGCAGCTGGCTACCCCTAGACAGAGTGATCCAAGAGAGCAAACCAGAAGCCACGTCTTTTTTTTTTTTTTTTTTTTTTTTTTTTTTTTTTTTTTTTTTTTTTTTTACTGAGCCGTGCACACATATTACCTATTTAAATAATTTTTCAAAATAAATAAAAAGTACCCATAACAATACTTAGGTTGGTCTAATTCAGAAGTTTTCCAAGCATAATCAGCAAAGTCCTTTCCTCAAATAAATTTTTCGTGGAATGACACTATACCCACCAGATACAAGGGCAAGCTGCTCCAATAGGCACGAGGCCACGGGACCACCTATGCACCTCTCCCTCCTCAGTTCACAAACCTCCGGATTCAACCTTTTATCTGAGCAGGAACTTCCTGACTTTTCAAAGCTGGAAATAAGAGCTTTTATGAGATTGGAAATGGTAACAAGACTACTCTCTCTTCCTTCCAAAGTCTTTTCTTTTCAGTGTCTCTTTATTAGGAAAACATTTAATTTTATAAATTTTTTTTTTTCAGTCTGAAGTTACCAACCTTCAAAAGAAGGAAGGAAAGGTTAGTCATTTGGTTGAGCAAATATTCCCAACCTTTACTCACTGTGCCCTTAAAACTGTGTACCCAGAATGCTTTGCAACCCAAAAGCCTAAAACAAGTTGGGGGCGGGAGGGAGGGGGCGGGAGGGGGTAGAGACTTGTCCTGTCTTCTGCCCCCACCTTTCCCCTTCCTTATACATCTTCCCCCCCCCCCCCCCCCATCGCACTCAGGGTCAGCCTCGGCAGCCGCTCTCACAGAGGGTGGGCCCCACCTCAGTGTGCTGTAGCACTCACTATGCCCAGGCAGCCACCTACAATTTACAGCCAGTCAGGCTTGGGTTTAGATCCCAGACCTACCACGTAATCATTGAATTTGCACAAGTCACTTGACCTCTCTGAGCCTTGGTTTCTGCATCTGTAACTTGGGGACAGTGCCCTCTTCATTGCTGGGCTGCAATAAAGATGACACATGTAAACGCCCCGCACGGAGAAGGACCCCAATTAATGATCTCTTGCCAATAACGGCCTCCCCCCTTTTCCTGGCCTCTCCCAGGCTCCTGGAGAGATAGCAGGATTCTGGTTGACACCTTGCTTTCCAGAGTCTATGATTTTTATACTTTTCAAAATAATTTTTAAAAATTTGGTTATGCTCATTTTTAAAAAATTAACAAAAGGAAAAATTTTCCCCACCATCCTACCATTGAGTTCCCAGTCAAGGGGGCTGTCCTGGGTACTCTGACCCCACCCCCCACCCCCCCAGGGCTCTCTGCTCACCTCGTCTGCTGTGCAAATAAGGAATTTTAATATGTTTTGTTTAGTTTTCCTGAAGATCTTTCCTGGCACTTTGATGGGCCTCTGGTACCCTGTGAGATCAATATATATATTATTGATCTCTAACTCACGGTTCCTGCCACAGAGCTCCGAAACCCTTGTGGTTTCCTAAGTGATAAGAGCTCTCGGAGCATCTTTTGCTCTAATATTTGGTCTTTGATCCTGGTTCCTGCCACAGAGCTCTAAATCCCTTGGAATTTCCTGGGTGCTAGGAGTGTCTTTTGTGACACTGTCTTTTGAGGTGACTCTGAGTGGGCCCCTGAATGGGGGGGCTGGTCACCAGAAAGACCAAGCCATGGTGAGCAGCTTAGAATATTCAGCTCCACCCCCTTTTCCCAGAGAGGGGCTGGAAATTGAGTTAATAATTGAGCACACCTACATGAGAAGACCCCCATTTAAATCCCAATAGCACGGGTGTGAAGACCTTCCAGCTTGGTGAACATAGGTGCCAGGAGAGTGTTGTACCTGGGGAGGACACGGAAGCTCCGAGACCCTTCACACGTATCTTGCCCTTCGTGTCTTTTCCATCTGGCTGTTCATCTGTTTCCTTTATCACCCTTTTGTAAGAATCTGGCAAACAGGAAGTGAACTCTAGCAAATTAACCCTGAGGAGGGGGTGGTGGGAACCTCCAAGGGCAGCAGATGGGTCAGAACCACAGGTGGACCTGTGATTCGTGTCTGAAGGCAGGACAGTCTGGTGAGTCTGAGCCCTTACCTTGAAGGACCTGACACTTTCTCCAGGTAGGCAGTGTCAACTGAGTTAAATTGTAGGACACCCAGCAGTGTCAGCAATGATGTGTTCCGTGTGAGTAGTTAGTGAGAAACCCAGGAGGGAAAGACTGGTTTCCCAATGCATACCCAGAGAAGAGGGGAGCCCCCAGCCACCTCCGGCAGCCCCATCAGCTTACAGCAGCCTAGGACTCTGGCTCCCAGGTCGCCCTGAGGGCGGGGGGGGGGGGGGGGGGGGTGGGGGAGGGGGGGAGGGAGGAGCGGGGGGGCGGGGAGAGCGGGGGCGGGGGGGAGAGCGAGGGTGGGGCCTGTCTCCCAGCAGCAGCCATCCAGAACCAGCCTTTTGTTCCTCACCACTGGTCACCTGGTCCAGGGGCAGCAAGCATCCAGTCCACTGTTGTTTTTTAAATGTCCTGGTTCCACAAAAATCTGCCTTCCTTGGAGACTTGGGCATGACACCCCATCCATAGGATAAAAGCGTTTGTCCTTTTGACACCGAGGACATACAAATGACGAGAAACTACACACACTCGGCATTAGGCCAGCGCCCCACAGCAACTTCCCTATGTTGGAAGATGTCCAAGGAACAGCGGGCAGAGACCCTCGGCGGCCACAGGAAGGGGTAGGGTGCAGGGGTATTGTGACATGCTCCAGGGAAGGGCAGCTCTCCCCTTGGCCAACGGAGGCCCCGGGCTCAGAGGAACAAGGGAGCCGGACCGGACATGGAGGCTGGGGCCCAGCCCGCTGGTGCTGAGCAGGATGGGGAGGACGAGCCTGAGCCGCAAGCTCCGACCCAAGCCATCGAGGGCCACGGCCAGGTGCTGCTGATGGGCAATTTCTGGCCGCAGGAAGAGCGCTTCCTGACCCTGCAGGACATCCTGGAGCAGAGCCCGACCAGCCGGCCCACCCAGGAGCCCTCGTCCACCAGAGCCACGGGCGGCCACAGCAGCTCCAGCGACTGCTCCTGGCGGCGGCGTCTCAAGCGCCCCAGCGACTGCTCCTCCGACGACACCGAAGGCCGGGCCGCCAAGTGCAAGCGCTCGGCCCAGAAGCCGCCCCAGGGTTCGGCCGGGACGCCCAGGAGCCGGGCGGCGGCGGAGGATGCGGCGTCCGGGCGCCAGAACCCCCAGCTGCCGCTGCCGCCGCTGCCGCGGGAGCCGGGCGCGCGGCTGCTGCTGGTGTTCTGCCGCGCGTCCGCGCTGCGCTCGCAGCTGCCGCGGCTGCAGCTGCTCCTGCGGCGGGTGCACGCCCGGCACCGCAGCCCGCCCGCCGCGCTGGTGGGCATCGTGGTGCTGCCGCGGCGCGAGGAGGAGGCCGAGGCCCGCCGCCGCATGGAGAGCCTGCTCGGCAGCGCCTTCGGGCCGCACAGCCCGGCCGTGGAGGTGCACACCGCGGTGTTCAGCCCCAGCCGCCCCGAGGGCACCCTGGACATCCAGCGCGCCGCCGCCGCCGCCGCCGCTGCCGCCGCCGACGGAGCACGCGGAGGAACACACGAGGCCCCCGCGCGGGGCTGCGTCACCCTCATGGATCAAGAGACTCAGACAGAGGGTGAGGAGCCCGAAGGTGAGGGGTGGGAGCGCCAGGCGGCCGCCGCTGGGACCCCGGGGGATTCGGGAGAAACTTCACTGCAGAGGGAGACCCTGTGTGGCTGGCTCCGTTGGTTGGGGAGCCGTCCACTTCGACAAGCACGGAGGGAGGCCTGTGCCTGGACCCTGCTGGTCCCAGTCCTGGAGACAGGTCCCTCACGGGATGGCCCCTCCCCGGGCGCGTCCACTTACACCGTGTGGGTGAAGATGAACTAGAGTCCTGTCCCCAGGGCTGCTCCCCGGGATAACTTTCACACACCCAGGCACCCGACCCCTTGCTCCCTTGCTCACTACTGGGAATCAGCCCACGTAAAGCACAGATCTGGGGGTTTGCGGGCCCCAGACCCGCCCTCTCTTCTCTCCACTTCCACTTGTTCCTCGCTAGGTGGGCCCTTCAGTCTCCTCCAAGGAACCACAATTGCCATCAAAGCATGCCTCGTGGGAGGCAGGCGCTGAGCTGAGCATTTCGCACCTCGACTGCTCACAGCAGCCCTCTGGGGAAGGTGCTGTCTTAGAGGAGCTGCACAATTCTTGTTCACAGCCCCTGGGAACCTCCCTACGGAGGAATCCGGATCTGTGGCCTCAGAGGGTTACTCTGAGGGTCTAAGCCTTAGAGGGTTCAGGGCAGTGGGCTCTTAAGTGAGCACCAAGTGCCTTTTGTCTCCAGAAGCCCCTTGGGGCAGCCGTGGGGCAGAAGGAAGTGCTCTGCGCAGGGCATCCAAAGCGAGGTTCTTTGAGGCTCTGCCACTCTCCCGCTGAAGAACAAAGCTAGGGGTCCCCTCCGGGAGCTGCTGCCCTCCTGACATAGGGGACTGAGGCCCGTTGGTGCCTGAGGTAACATCCAGTTCTAAGGTGTTAGCCTCGGGACAAATGTTGGCATGCTTGTCCTGGGTGCCCCGGATCCACCCCGAGGGCCAGAACCACTTAGGCCACATGTGTCAAACACAAGGCCCGAGGGCCAAATCCGTCCCGCCAGGCCTTGCAATGTGGCCCACACCGCGCTGTCATCACTGCACTCCGCTGCGTTCCATCACAATGACAGTTTATGACTGTTCAGTAAACCATTCGGCCCGCGATTTAGGCTGGATTTTAGATTTTGGCTCCTTCTCTGATTGGGTTCGACACCCCTAACTTAGGCTGACGATAGACTCATTCTTCTGACTCTCCCAGATGGTCCACAAGATTTTCCCATGGCTGCCATGCCTCGTCAGGAAAGCCCTGACTATGGACTGTTCCAACTGTAATCTTCAGCCAAGACCAGAAAACCCAGACCACTTTTGAAAACTGTCCCTTAAGAATGCAGACTTTGAGGTGCCTTGTCCCCCATCATCCACACCCACCCTGCGGTCACCAGTTTCCTGCTCTCTCTGTCTGATTTCTACTCTTGCCTCCAAGCAGCTTACGTCAAGCCCTTTCTCTGGACTTTGGCCTTCTCGGTCTTCACAGTCTAGGCGCATGGACTTTAAGAGAAGACAAGGGTAGAAGCCATTCTGACACCAGGCAGAATGTGATCCAAGATCTGGGCTCCGAGAGGGATGAGTTGATGGGTCCACTTGAGAAAGATCTGCATGATGGGAAGAGAGAGGGGTGGGAAGGAGTGGGAAGGGCTTCCACAAACACAGGGAAGTGAGGCATGTTCACCAGACTTCTGGTGCTTGTGATTGGCTAGAGCGAGACGCGGGTAGCATCAACCTGGGACAGTGGGATATGACTGTGTGATAGAGGAATCAGACTTCAGGCTAGGAAATTGTGCTCCAGCCAGAAGGCAGAGGGCATGGGAGATGTTCCAGCAAAGAACTATGGCGGCGCCATTCTTCCTAGTCCTTCTAACCGGACCTATTAATCCGCAAGTGCCCTCTCCTGTATCTTCGGGTTACCCTTCTTAAAGAACCCCCACTTATTTTCTCCACTGCCATAGAAAAACTCTCGCTCCTCCCAAAGCTTGACCCTCTGTGTTTCTTCCATTCCTCTCCTGGGGAACCAAGAATCTGTTTTTGCGTCTTTTTTTGGCCCCTTGGTGTGAAATGAAATGCTTCTTTCATTCCTAACAGGACATTCTTGCACCTATTTAATGAATTTAAACCAGTGGTTCTCAATCAGGGGCAATTTTCTGTGTCACACACACACACACACACACACACACACACACACTGACATTTGCCAGCGTCTGCAGATATTTTTGGTTTCATTTGGAAGGAGCAGTAGTTGCTACCAGCATCTGGGCAGAGACCAGGGACACTGCTAAACTTTCTACAATGCACAGGACAGCCCCACAACAAAGACTTTTCTGGCTCAAATGTCAATAGGGCTGATTTAAACCAGGTTGAGCCCTGGCCTGTGTAGCTCAAAGCACAGGCCTGGGTTGCAGGCTCAATCCTCGGTAGGAAGCATGCAAAAGGCAACTGATTAATGTTTCTCTCTCCCTCTTTCTTCCTCATATTTAAGAAAAAACTCAAAAACACACACATCAGGTTGAGGCCTTCAGTCAAAAGCCCATCAGTGCCTGAAAATCCAGTTTTACCGAGATAAATGCCTTAGGAGGTGTGACCTGTCTGCCGGATCCAGACAGGGTTCCTGACCCGGTTCCAGTCTCTCTGATTCTGAAGACTTCCCTGAGGGATCCATTGCTCTTGACTTCAGGGATTTACCACCTTCTTTCTTGTAGCCGCGCTGGCTCCCTGAATCTCCTCACACTCAGGCTCAATCAAATTCAGCCCAACTTTATTGATCTGTGCTTCCCTTCACTTCTCATCTTTCATGCCTTTTTTCCCTTCAATCCTTTCACTCAAGGGTTGACTTTAAGGCTTGTATAATCACCTGACTCCCTGTTGCCTTTTGGAGTCAGGAAAAGAGAGATTTCTGAACGGGAATTTAGCCCCTTCAATGCCCCTCCACTGTGTGGTAGTTTAACCTTTAACCTCCATTTTCCCCTCTGCAGAAAGAGAATCAGCAAGGTCTTTTCAGGTTCTAGAATCTCTAAAATATTTCCCGTCATTTCACAGTTCATATCAGACCTGGCCTTGCGTGGGGATTCCTCCTCCATAGGTCTATTCTAAGCCTTCTCCTGGGGCAAGAGTGTCACCCCAGACTCAAGGAGTTGACAGTAGACTACTCACCACCTCATGATGCATCAATGGCAGAAGTAGAGTCTTCTAATATGAACACATTTTCTGTTGGAGTCAACATGTGAAGCCTAAGGTTGTCCTTTTCTTAAATGTGTTTTTTTCTTCTTCTCTCCCATCCTAAAAGGAAAGTCACATTTTTAACTTTGAGAAAGATTCATAGTCTCCTAATTGACCCGATGAGTTTGGAGTTTGAAACGTAGCCTACTGGCGTAATGAGTTTGAGAAAGATGTGGTTTTCCAAACTGCTGTTACGTTTATAGGGGAAATTCTTTTGCCAAATGCAAGGGTTCTTTGCCAAAGTTGGATGACACCGCCCCTCCCCCAAGACCCTTCCCACATTAGGGGAAGGCAGGTTTTGGAAGAAGGGGGAAGCTACTCGATGAAAATAATCTGGGGGGACAGCTGAGATGGTAGGAGGCGGTGGGCTTTCCAGGGACCCCCACATCTTCAGTAACGTCACCTAAAACACAGTATGCATGGGGAAGTCGTTTGGGGGGGTTGGGTTTTGGTTTTCAGTTTTTTGTTATGTGGAAACCAGTGACAGAGTTGAGAAATCAGAGCCATTGGTTCTTAGAGTGAATGGATAGCTCTAAGGGGACCCGGGACACACCAGCAGAGAGGTGCCTGAAGGAGGCACTCCAAGTCGCAGAATCGTAGGGATCCACGTTGTCACAGGCCCCATGGCCAGGCTTAACCCCGATTCTTGAGGGGTCTGACACCTGCCTTCTGCCCATCCCAGTAGCTAAGGAAGAGGGAGAACAGCAGGCTAGGCAGAGAAGACTGTCCCCAGGGCACTGCCATAGGAGCCACCCTGGTGTTTGTGACCTCACAGGAGGAGTGTGGGTGACCTTTCTTTGTGGTGCCTGGGTCCAGCCCAAGGCCAGAGTGTTCCCCCAGGGCAGGGCCTCCCTCCAGCAGGGAGCCGGAAGACTAGGCAGCTCCATGTAGGGCCACGTTTAGGTAAGGAAGACCCACCATGAAGAAGGGCAAAAAGAAGAAGCCAGAGTCCAAACGCCGTGGCTCCAACTCACGGCACTGTAGCTCTGACTCCACCCCACATCAGTCCAGCGTGGAGTCCTCCCCGCAGCAGAACAGTTTATCATGCACCCCACCGCAGCAATGGAGCTCTGAGTTCACCCCCCAGCAGCCCTGCCCAGAGTCCTCCCCACAGCAAGCCATCTCTGGGTCCAACCCACAGCAGCAGCAACAGAGCCCTGAGTTCACCCCCCAGCAGCTCGCCTCAGGGTCCACCCCACAGCAGCCCAGTTTGGGCTCCATCGTAGAGAGGCCCGTGATCCGGGCCCTCCCAGCTCCCCAAGACACTCAGAACACTTGCACAAAAATATCCCATGGATCCAAGAAAGCAGGTGAGCAGATTTCTAGCTTATCAGTACTAGCCTTTCTGCTGCTGAATCCCGGGTTACCCCAGAAGCTGTTCTTATTGGATAGGGTTGCGTGGTTAACGTGTATTCTGGAACTGTGCTGTGGAGTATGAGGATTTGGGGTTTTGTCTTTACCCAAGAGACCAGGATTCCTGGATATTGCCATTCTCTCTATGTGGAGTCTCACGGAAGAAGGCAGCCCGCATCCATATTAACTTTTCACATGGCTCAATGGTTATATGTGCTCATTGGGAATCAGGGTGCGTGTAGCTGCTCAACAATAAAACCCAAGGATGCATTGATATGAAATTTAGGAGTGGTCATACTGCTTTATTGTCCTCGTCAGACAATCTCCATTTGCTATAAAAGATACCTACACTCTAACCCAAAGAGGAAAGTCCAGGCTGATGGTGACTGAGAGAAGAAGGGGGAGGCAAGAACCACTTGGTGTTTGAGATTTCGTGGAAGGGTTTGGAGGAAACCTGTCAAATGGAAGATATAAATGGACTTTTTCCATGTTGTCCTGAGATGTTTGACTAAGGACCCATGGGTAAGGTTTCCAGTAAAATGCAGGTCGACAAATGATTTTTAAATAAGTGTGTCTCAAATATTGCATGGGCGTCATGCGTTGTTTTTACTTGCTAAATCTGGCAACCTTACCTATGGAAGACATAGGTGGATTTCTCTCCTCAACATTAAAAAACTCTAGCAATTATCTCTCTCTGACAAAGGAATGACCATCTAGGAAAAGTGGCCCCCCATCTTCTTGTTAGCCAGAGTCTGAATGAACATTGGATTGTGTAGAGGAAATTCAAGTGGAGTTCAGGGGGTGGGCTGGTTAAAACTACTACTACTAATAATGGTAATAGCTAACCAACGGTGTACCCAGCATTCAGCTCAGCCATCTGTGTTAATTTTCTCATTTAACAACTCTTAAAGAACATACTAGCATCATCTCCATGTTATAGACGGGAAACTGAGGCCCAAAGAAATCAAGCAATTCACTCTCAAGTAGGCACTAGAAGCACTGAGGGGAGAACCCCAGCCTCGTCTGACTCCAGAATTCTCGCTCTTAACTGCAGCCCTAATTTTCTGATCCCCTGAGGTCTGGTCGCCTCCCTTGGAGGAAGCATACCCTTCTCTGAGCTTCTCCTGGATCCATGAGCCAGAGCCTAAAGCTCCGTGGTCCTGACCAGACCACACTCCCCAGGCCACAGCATATCCCTCTGAGATCATGTGGACATAAATAAGAGGCATGTGTATATCCAAGGTATCTCTGTGACATATTTCTGAGGCTAGGAATCAATCCATTCTTAACATCTGAAATGGTTTTGAGAGCTACACTACATGTAAATGTTATGATCATCACCCGCTGAACTAAACATTTCTGAATTGTGACCTTTTAGAACGGATATCTGTAGAATGCAGTTTTACATTCCCAAACCTTTTAATGAGTACATGTGACTCACCCCATGAGGAGTTCTGTTTATTGCTCCAAAGTATTGTAAAAGAAACTGCATTTCATTAAATGGGAAACCTGGTGCAATGTATTGCATTTAGATAAATACAAATCTGAGACACTCATCTATCCACAATTTCATGTGCTGCTACCAGCCAATTTATCCAGGCACTGGTGGTGGCTCTTCAGTGCTTACAATGACCACCTACTCTCCTTCTGTCAAAGACATTGTTTCCCTTTGAGCCAGAATAGGAAGGAATGTTGGCAATAAGGGATGAGGGCCTTTACATAAAAGATGCCATATTCTAAAATCCAAATTTTTTATGTGCAGAAAATATTGTAGTTCAATAAAAGACAAGTCTTCCACTAGAATGACTATAATTAAAAAAAAATGGACAATGACAAGTGTTGGTGAGGCTATGGAGAAGTCAGAAGCAGCACACACTGCTGAAGGGAATGTAAAATGGTGCTGCTGTGATGGAAAAGTCTGGCAGTTCCTTGAAGGGTTAACCACGAAGTTACCTTAAGATTCAGCAATCCTGCCGAAACCGGTTTGGCTCAGTGGATGGAGCCTCGAAGGGTCCCAGGTTCAATTCTGGCCACAGACATATGCCCAGGTTGTGGGCTCAGTCCCCAGTAAGGGGGCATGCAGGAGGCAGCCAATCAATGACTCTCTCTCATCATTGATGTTTCTATCTCTCCCTCACCCTTCCTCTCTGAAATCAATAAATAAATATATATATATATATATATAAATATATATACATATTTTTTTTTTCTTAAAAAGATTCAGCAATCCCCCTCCTGGGTATATACCCAAGAGAATTAAAAAGTATATATATGTTCTACCACTTCAAAGTTAATGGAAAATTAAGCCTTTAGCTCCTAGCCAAACTTTTAATATTATTTTTTTGGTTGTAACTGGGATTCTTAGAGTTTCCCACACACACAAAAATAAATTCCTGGTTTAAGTGTAAAAACAAAACATATGTTCTACAGAAAACTTGTACATGAATGTTCACAGCAGCATTACTCACAATAGCCAAAAAAAGACAACTCAATGTCCATCAACTAACGAATGGATAAACAGCAGGTGGTACAGATGTGCTATGAAATACTATTTGGCAATAAAAAGAGATGATATGCTGATACATGCTGCAACATGGATGGACCTCAAAAACATTAGGCCAAGTAAAAAAAAGCCAGTCCATAAGAAAGCCCACATGTTGTATGCTTCCATTTCTGAAATGTCCAGTATAGGCAAATCTATGGCCAGAACCTGGGGAGAGTGGGGAACAGGCAGTGGCTGCTAATGGGTCCGGAGTTTCTTAAGTGGGAAAAGAAAACAGTGTGGAATGAGGTAGCAATCATGGTTGCGCACCTTTGTTTATATTCTGAAAACCATTGAACACGTTAAAGGGGTGAATTTTATGGTATGGGAATTAGAAGTCCACAAAAAATTTTTTTTAACTAAAAACAGAAGAACGATAACATCTTGCCTTTAGAATCTCTTCCTTCTCCGGTCCAGAAAAAGTATCCGTCATGGGGAGCTCTAAGCAGGAAGTGTGCTGCGTGTTCCAAGGTTGACCACTGCCTTCACGGAGCTTTGGTTGGAAGAACCCACAGTTCCGTCAGGAAGCCAGGACGAAGGTGGCTGCAAGAGGAGGAAATGAGGCAGAGGTCATTTTAAACAGCAGAGGGCACTATCTCGGAGTTCCGTGAGGATCCTCCGCACACGGGGAAACAGAAATGTAGATGAGTTTGGGAAAGTATCCCAAGGACTGTAAACTGGAGCAGCGGCTGCCTTCTGGATGAACCAGGGAGCCCACAGAAATGGGACGTGGCAACTCCAGGTGCAGGAATCGAGTGCTGCCTGTCGCCTGCTGCCACCACTTCCTAAGAATTCCGTGGCGAGAGCCCTGAATCAAGAAATCCTGAATTGAGGCTCACTTCTCCAATCTATGTACTCTCAATTTGTACCTCAGTTTCCTCATTTGTAAACCGAGAATAACAATATTCCACTTGGATAATTAAATGGGATGGATAATGATGTGAAGCGTGGAGCACCGTTGCATCATTATTTACCCCCAGGTAGCAGCAGTCTGAAATGCAACCCGTTTCCCCACACAGTTTGTTTCTGTGTCTTTGAGGCTCTCCCCTACCCCCTCCTGCAGGCTGGTGGGTCCCTTATCTTTCTCTTTTTCTGTCCACCCAGGGCCTCCGACTCAGGCGAGCCCCTTCTGTTCCTGTACCACTTGCCCCGGCAGCTCTGCTTGCTGGCGTCGTCTGGGCCTGTGCCACAGCCGCATCTTCGATGTCCTTCTGCCTCAGGCCTGGATGACCGTGCCAGGCAGAGAATTCCCAAGCCTCCTCACCTTCTACAGGTTCTGGAGCTCATGGAGGGCTGGGCCCTCAGGTCGTACAGTTCCCAAGGGCCAGGCTCTCCCCCAGATCGTTTTGTAGTCTTGTGTTATTCCGCCTGGGAATCCTAGGCCAAAGGAACGCCTCCCCCTCCGGGTGGCCACAGCCTAAGGTTTGGCACCAGCCCTTTCAGAGCAGACCCATCCCCCCAGGGCATCCCACCTGCACAGAGAGGTGCCGATTTTCTTCCTTCCCAAGAATTGCTTCTTCGAGGGCTTCATTCCTCTTTTCCCCAAAGGCACCCTCCTTTCTCAGAGCTCACCCCCTCACAGCCCTTCAGAAATGCCTTGTCACTCAGAGCTTTGGGATGAAATGCTCTGTTAGGCCGTCGGCCTCCGTCTGTGGCCACGCCACAGCTGAGCGCTTTAGGTTCTTTACCTGCATGTGAATTTCCCCTGGAGCGGAGTCACAGATACTGAGTGTAACCCACGTGCCCCCTGGGTAATAGCAAGACCTCCACCCCGTGCAGAGGGTCTCCGGCTATTTCTACAACCCCAACAGGGAACAATGCCCCCAGGTTGCTCTGTCCATGGCAGAGCAGCCCCCCACCCACAGCAACATGGAAGTTCTGCCCTTCTTTGCCTCTTCCTAGATACCACCGGGTGGAACCTTTTCCAGCGGTGCCAGGGCTGGGAAAGGAGCTTCCTCCCATCCCCAGCTCTGGGTCCAAAGCAGCTCCGCCTGTACCCAGGGTCTCACAAGTGTCCACGGAAGAGGTCTTACACCTGACAATCTGATACCCCTGACCTAGGAACAGAGCCCACCCACCCTCCACCTTCCCCCTGCTCCTCTTCCCAGCCCCTCCCCCACCAGATCCCCCCTCCTGTCCACCCTTGAAACAAACCTATGAAGAACACAAACAGATACCCAGGTGTGTTGGAAGAGCATGCCTAGAGCTAAAAATACTCTATAACCTGGTAAGTCCCTGTCAAGGAAGGGACTCATTAACTGTCTTCCAACACACTTAATACTTCTGTCCAAAGGGCGCCACGTTGTGCCATGGGTTCATATGTCTTTAATTTTTTAAAAAATATATATTTTATTGATTTTGTACAGAGAGGAAGGGAGAGAGATAGAGAGTTAGAAACATCGATGAGAGAGAGTCATCGATCAGCCGCCTCTTGCACACCCCCCACTGGGGATATGCCCGCAACCAAGGCACATGCCCTTGACCGGAATCGAACCCGGGACCTTTCAGTCCCCGAGCCGATGCTCTATCCATTGAGCCAAACCGGTCTCGGCCATATGTCTTTAATTTTTTAAAATAATTCTTTTTTTGTTAAAAGTATTACATGTATCTTCTCTGCCCCCCCCCCCCTCCCATTGGTCCCCTCTGGCCTGTCCCAGTCCCTGCCCCCCCTCCCAGGCCTTCAGCACCCTATTGCCTGTGTCCATGAGTTATGTATGCCTATACGCATACAAGGTCTTTGATTGATTACCTCCCATTCACCCATCCTCCCCCACCTTCTCAAATCACTTTAAAACCAATAAGTAGGAAAAATTAATCTGCACAGGAATCTAGGTACTAGGAGAGAAACTAGAACAGGGAACTTTACCCTTAAAAATTGTGCAGCCTGCACGGTAAGCTAAGACACGTCCATTTGAAAAACTAAGGTGTGAGCCAGGTGTTCTGTGTCCCATAGGAGACGTTCAAAGAGCTTCAGGAAAAGTGTTCACTCCTAACCTGGAGTCCAGGCAGACTGCGCAGCGTCAATCACATCTGAGCTGAGTCTTAAAGGACCTTAGGATCTTCTATGACTTATTATAAAGGGAGAGCACTCTAGATGGAGGAAAAGGCAAAAGCAAGGCTCAGAATTAGGGAAGTGAGGGGCAAGGGGCATGGGTCCAGGTTGGTCAGGGTTAAGACATATTCTGTTCAAATGTTTAGCACCTGCTTCCAAAATCATTTCATTTCTCAGAGGATTGGAATGTTGGCTCTTGGCTTGAAATGCACACTCATGTTAAATAAGAGCCACTAGTTGAATAGGATTTTTACCCAAACGGATACTGCATTTGGTGAAAGCCATCCTCACAATTAGTATCATACTCATATATTTTCCTTGCCTTCGTGGTGGGTGTGATATGTGTTTCTTCAGGTGTAATATGTGTCCCCCAAATGGAGCTATCTGGTAGAACCTCCTTCACAGGGTTGTCTTGAGGTTGGAGGAGACTTTGAGGTTGGAGGAGACCTGTTTAGCCCAGGGCTTGGCATATGGGGGTCTGGACCACCTTTGTAGCTTGGCTTTCTGAATGCCCTGGGGAGCTGGTGTCCTGGGCAGGTCTACATGTCCTGGGGTCCTGGGGTCCTGGGGTAGGTTTTATTGGAAGGAATGGGAGAGTTGTGTCCCCTTGAGAGGAGGGTGGATAGGGGCAGGTGGGTATTCCTGCAATCCTGAGGGAACCCCACAATCTTCCCTTTCCCATAAAAAGGCACTAAAGCCCAACTTCCCCCAACCTATGGGCTTTCTGCTTTGCTTTGCAGAGGACCGGCAAGGAAGCACACCAGTCATCGTAATTCCCGTGCTCCAGGTTCTCGGGACTGCAGCTGTGGCTCTGGGGGCTCTAGCAACTGCCTACTGCGTCATTGAACTCCTGTGAACAAACCCCCAGGCTCGCGGTCCAGCAGGTGTGTGGACCCCCTCGGTGCCCACTGCTCTTTGCAGAAGTGGTCCTCAGGCCCCCTGAGTGGCCAGCCCTCCTCGCAGGGCCAGTGGGGTTTCTGTCCCTTCTCTGAAGTGAGAAGGTTGTTACCAGTAGACCATGCCCCCCAGCCTCTTTTGTTGACTGTGTGAGTCCTTCCTGGGCTCAGGGTGGCCTGGCATGGCTCTCTCCAGCAGCCCTGCCAATGATAGATCCATTATTGGGATTGTCAAGACCGAGTTCCCCAAACTCCCACTGACCTGGGTGGTTTCCCTAGTCACAGAGAGCAGACAGGAGGAGGTGAGGGCAGAGGCTCTTGCCCATCTTGGGGCCTTTCCTTGGAACTTTCTTCCTGCCTAGAAAGCTTTCTCCCTTGACCTAGCCCTACATTTCAAGTCCTACCTATTCTCCATGACCTAGCCCTATTTCTTCCATAAAACCTTCCTCCCGCACTGTACCTCCAGTGAATTCTCCCCCCTGGTTAATCACGGTCTTCTCCAGCCTGGTCCATCCTGTGTTGTGGAGGGTCATTGCACATGTTTGTGACCTATCTCTACAAGGGTACTGCAAGATCCTTGAGAGTAGGCCTCACACAGCATCTTCAATCCTCCCCTCTTCTAGGCTGGGCTTCCTAGAAGCAGAGCCTGAGTCAGGGATGCGAGAACACAGGATTTATTGAAAGAGAAAAAGAGAGGGAGGGAGGCAAGAGAGATCAAAGGAAGGAACAGAGCCAGGACCATGTCAGCTGAAGTCCAGCCTGATCCCACGGGGGCTGTCAAGCATGAATTATACCATAGACCTGGTCTCACCTTGAAGCAAGAGCAGGCTTTTTGTGCCCCTTTGTCATTCCACCATTGGCAATAGGGGTGAGGGTGGGGAGTTAAATCTTTGTGGAGAAGAGCTCCCATTTGGCTGAGGACAAGCCTCTGGGGAAAGAGGCAGCTCTGAGTCCTTAGCAGCCAACATTCACAACTCACAGGAGCTAAATAAAGAATGCACCAGCCCAGAAAGGGGAGCACCCACATTGTCCCCATTGTCAAGTCCACCCACAGTGAATGCCTCATAAGTGATGGGGGGGGCGGGGACAGTAAGGGGATAATGGCAGCCTTTCAACCACTCCTAGACTTCTGTCAGCCACAGGAGTGGACAGGGAGTAGCCACCGTAGGGCCCACGGTGGAGCAGATGCTCAGAGTACCTCAAAAGACCAACCCAGAAAATAAACTCCAGTGAGAGCTCAGCATCTGCTCCAGGGCTCTGCTGCCTGATCAAGGGGCATATTCATGGGAGAGAAGAAGCACTTTAAGCTTCACAAAACACACAGCATCTGGGAGCCTCAGTTTCCTTAGCTCTAAATAAGAAAAGCCGCTGTGCCCTGCTCTTGAGATTTCCAGGAGTATGAGAAAAGATGCTTAGAGTGAGCTGGCCAGCTCTAGGGTGAAGGTACTGGTGGTTGGAAAGACACTGGCTTTGGAGACAGAGCTTTAGGTTCTATCAGAACTGGGCTACCTGGTAGCTGGGTGTTAGGGGCCTCGCAGCTTAACTTCTGTGAGTCAGTGTCATTTCTGAAGGGGGAGAAGAATGAGTAGTTCCAGGGCAATGGTGGTGAGGATTAAAGGAAGGAATGTGCAGGTGTGCAAGGCCTGGTCACAGGAGATGGGTGGATGGTGGCCAGTGACCATGTGAGGACTGCACTTGAGCTAAAGTGCTTTGCTCTAGAGCAAGCATGTCAAACTCTCTGCCAGTGGGCCACATGGGGCCCACAATGAGTATTTTTGCTGCCCAGCCAAAATAATGGTGTGAGCAGTTATTTACAATTATGAAAGGAAATAAGTCTCCTGTCAGATCCAGAACTACCGGCATTCACCTTGGGTCAGTTTTGAAACTAATCACTGTGAACAAGATTTCCCCCGAAGTAGGGAAGATAGTAGCAGAGAAGAGGTGCCAAGTATTTCAGGTAGAAAACATTAATTTTATTGTCGCTCTTGTTCTTTTTTATATACTACAATTTTCTAAATAAACCTACGTTTCTATGAAAATTGAAGCTTTTGAATTTTGTTGTGGCTCACATAAACTTGACCTTGTTTATTTGGCTGTGTTAGCCTTTGAGTTTGGCATGCTTGTTCAAGAGTCTCCTTATAGCAGAGCCCACCAGTGTGAGTTCCGGTAGGGTTGAAGGGGCAGGCAGGCTTGGGTCATATTCTCCTTCAAGGTTCAGTATTGTATTCTGGGGCAGGTTCCAGAACTAGGGAATTGGAAGGTTTCCAAATGCCAGAGGCATTTTAAGAGTGATCTGATAAGTGGATTATGAATTTACTTGGTGGAAATTTCAGAAAACCAAATTCAGAATGGCAATAAGGAGACTGTCTCACCTAGCTATGGAACAGCTGGGAAGAGTCAGGGCTCCCTAAAGTCAGCAGTGTTGTCAGAAAGCCGGGAAGGGACTTTTCCAGCTTTAGTCTCTGACACCCTCCTCGGAGGGCAGGCTAGTCCCTCCTGTGGGCAGGCGGCTGGAGAAGCTTCCAGAATCACAGCCTCATATCCTGACAGCCAGAAACAGGGAAAAGGCTACCTCCTCCTTATGTCTCTTTCTTTAAAATAAATAGATAGATAGATAGATAGATAGATAGATATTATTTATTTATTTTGTTTGTTTATTTATTTCCTTAACCAAGGATATGTTTTTATTGATGGGGGGGGGGGGGAGGCAAACAAATTTTTAGAAAACAGCAGTGTGAGAGAAAAACATTGATCACTTGCCTCCCATACACACCCCAATGGAAGAACAAACTCACAACCTAGGTATGTGCCCTGACAGGGAATTGAACCTACAACCTGGGTGATGCTCCAACTAACCAAGCCACCCAGCCAGAGTCTTGTGTCTCTTCCTGAGTTAAGAAACTCTTTTCAGGAGACCCTTTCCTCAGCATACTTGCCCTCTCATTGGGGTGACATGCCCCTGAATTGTGTTTCATGCCCCTTCTTAAGCAAATTAATAGGGACTGAATTATCATGGCGGGATTAGATCCATCCCCAGTCTGTTCCCCTGCCTGGGGCAGGGATTGCTTCTGTCCAGGACAAGGCTGGGCAAAGCAGCCAAATTAAATGGAACCCCTACCAGGAAATAAACGAGAGTGGATTGGGAACAGGCCAGAGTGTTTTAAAAGGTGATATGGTAGCTGGTGAGAGATGAACCTCAGTGCTCAGAGCTGTTGGCTTAATAAGAGGCTGGAGACCTGTTGGCTTAGCCACTGAAAACCACCCTGAGGGCAGGAGAGTCAGTGTGTGGGGGGAGGGGGAGCAGACCCTCAGGAAGGGAAACAGGCAGTGTGGTGTCCTTCTCAGTCCAGACAATGAAACACCATCTGATGACAGTGGCAACGTCTACTCTCTGGGAAAAGATACTTCTAGAATTTTCTTTCCTAAAGTTTGGTGTGCCTCTCTCTCAGCATCTCACCAGTGAAGGATGAGTCACTAAAGCAAGAGGCTGCTTCCCAGCTCTCTCTGGGCACTGCTGCTCATAGTAAAAATCCCACCATGGGCTAGCTTTTGGGGAGCGAGACTTCCTCTTAGCTGTTGGGAGCCCTAGGGTGGGAGGAGGAAATGGAAAGTGCCAGCACCACTAAGCTATGAAAGGGAGAGGGAGGGAGGGAGGGAGGGAGGGAGGGAGGGAGGGAGGGAGAGAGAGAGAGAGAGAGAGAGAGAGAGAGAGAGAGAGAGAGAGAGAGAATGAGAGCGAGAGCCAAGAGCGAGAGCCTGGTAGTTTGCATAAGCACCTGGTACTTTGCATAAACTCCTTAGAGCCTGAAGGGAAAAACAAGTCTGCTGTGGCTGTGTTTGGACAAAAGGAAGAGTGGATGCAGAAATGGAAGGAATTAGAATCCTAAATAATTTCTTTTCCACAGGTGGACCTTTGCTGTGAACTCTCGTCGATGAGGCTGTAACGCTGGAGCGCCACCAGCGTTCTGGGGTCATGAAGTGCTGTGTAAGCTAACGGCTCTGTTCTTGTTTCTCTTACAGATCCAGTTTCCACCAGGGATATCCCTTGTCACCAAAATAGAACAATAAAAAACAAAAACAAATTCTGTTTCTTGATTGTGTTCTACTCAAGTCACAAAAGCTGGACTTGGTAGGGAGGTGAGCGGGGTGTGGCGTAGGAGGGGAGGGGGGGGGCGGTGACTTTCTGAGCCCTAGGTAAACCAGGGTGGGATCCTGCTGTTCCTCTTGGGGGCCACAGACCCAAGTGGAGGTGATTTTCTCTACACACTCACAGAACAATTCATTTCAGATTCTCCATTTTCAAAACAGGAGTTACACTAGTCAATTCAATACCTAACATAACTAGTCAACTCGTCTGGCCAGTGGTAATCCAGTTAGTGGGAGCAGGAGGAATGCTCTGGCTCCTTTTCAGGCCCGCACCTGTGCCTGGGACACTCCACCTCTTCAGTCAGCTTCACCAGTGAGGGGGGCGCAGGGGCAGGGCGAGGCGGGGCCTGAAGCCCATGGTCCCTCCTGCTGACTTCACTGCACTCAGCCAGAGCCTGTCTCACCTAGCTATGGAACAGCTGGGAACATTCAGGCTTATGAATGCTCAGGAACATTCAGCGGTTCCTGAGCCGCTGAGGCAGAGGTCTTAGTTCTGGGGATCCCAGGAAACACCAGTAGGCTGTGAGACAGGAGGAGGTGCTTAGTCGGCTGGGGCAATCTGGGAAACAGAACACACCGCAGAGACATTCCACCCAAAGGGGATGGTTTGCATGCCCATCCTGTCAGTCATCCATTAGGGCTGCTGGGAGGGAGGCGATGAATTTCCCTAAACATTTGGCCACTCTAGAGAGGAAGACTCCAGACACAGAAATGCAGATGGTGGGTGTTAGAGGTCCAGAATGCCTAAAACAGCAGTAAAGGCCAGGGGATGTGAGAGGGCATGTGTGTGTGTGTGTGGGGGGGGGGGGGGGGGGGGTGGGTCGCAGGGGGGGGGGGGGGGGACAGCCCTGAACTCAAGGATGGGAGTGCACAAAGCCATGCGCATGTGACCTGCTGCGCCTCTGACAGCTGCTCAAGCTAGAACCAGGACAATCCTTGGGGGGGGGGGGGGGGGGCAGGAGCAACAGCACAGCTATGAATGGCAGGTGGGCCAGGCCAGGTACCAAGAACCCAGAGCTCACCCACCACCTTCCAGTCCCAGGATTTCCTTTCCTAACAGGCACTTGGGAGAGGGTACCCCTGGAGTGACAGGAACCCTTCTTGGATGCCAGCCTCCCTTCGGGTGGAGTGGGGTCATGTTTGGGTCCTGTCCTGCAGGTCAGGGTGAAAGGGCCCCATGGCCGCTGCTTCTGATCAGCCGGGCTCCTCTGAAGATACTTAGCTCCTTTTTCTGGCATATTAATTAGGTCCCCCTTTATTGTGAATGTTGGACAGTCTAACCCAAACTGGTCTGAGCAAAACAAGGACATACTGACTCTTATAAAAGTCAAGAAAGAATTCTGGTTCAGTAGTGGCTTGTTCCAGGAGCCCAGGCCATGGCCCAGAACCATGTCTCTCTCTGCTTTTGCAGACTCAGTTCCATGCTCAGGCAGGCTCCTTCTACAAGGTGGCCAGATGGCTGCAGCAGCAACATTCCCAAGCTCGGAAGGCCAAGTCTGGCAGGGAAGGCAGAGTGCCTCCCAGCAGTAAAGGGCCTTCCATCGGGCTCTGAGTAGGTCTTGTGTCCCTCCAGGAACCCATGATCTGCTCAGGGGAATGCAGTGCCCTGATCAGCTTTGGAATTGAAGGTCCAGCCCATTGAAAGTATGAGGGCTAAGCTTAGGGGAAAGACAAAAACAGTAATTTTTTGATAACCTGTTACCTGTTACCAGAAGAAGTGGGAGTGGATGGTAGGCAGCTATAAACAGCAGACATCTATCTACTCCAGATGGGTTTGGGCCTGTGACCAGGGCCCTTATGCTACCTTCCACCTCTCCCCATTCTCCACTCCCTTTACCCTCCCCCTCCCCAGAGTGAATGCCTGAGTAGCTAAGCCAAGGATTCACAGTAGCCTGGAACCATGGACTCCTAGTGGTTGGATTCCTAGTGGTGACCTGGGCAGTACTACCCTTATACCCAGAGGAAGGTATAAGGCACATGTGTCAAACACAAGGCCCGCGAGCCAAATCCGTCCCGCCAGGCCTTGCAATGTGGCCCGCACCACGCTGTCATCACTGCACTCTGCTGCGTTTCCATCACAATGACAGTTTATGACTGTTCAGTAAAACATTCTGCCCGCGATTTAGGCTGGATTTTAGATTTTGGCCCCTTCTCTGATTGAGTTCGACACCCCTAGTATAAGGCAATGCTGGTTATCACAGTGACTGGGGGATACTATGGGCTATTAGTGGGCCAAGAATGCAGTGCCCAGAACGGACCCCGTGCCACAGATTTATTCCAAAATGCTGATAGCATTCTCATTGGCAATCACCACTATTGGGACTCATCTGTGGATACTTTCCTATATTACCCTTGCACTTGCCAAAGTAGAAAGAAGCATAACCAAGTATATTTCTGAACACAATGCCCCAACTAAGGCTGCCATGGCTGGGAGTTTGGGGGAAGCTTAGCTGATGCTAGGCCTTTGGGCATCTTCTCTAGGCTGGACTCAGACTTGGCTGTGAACATGGCCTTCAGACTATCAGATCTGTCTCACTGGCCCATCCAAGCGTGGGAGAGATACACAGAGTAAGGGTACAAGAGGTGAAAGGCTGAGCCAAGTTGAGATGCCCCATCCTCCTGCAGGTGCCCATCCTGTCCACCCAGCGCATTGGTGCCAGGAGCCTAGGACCAGATGAGCTTTTCTGATACTCTGTGGTCTCCATTCTTTCCACACCCACCTCCAGAGGACAACCACTCTCCCACTGGCCATGGAGCCTGGTGGGCTACAGTAACCAAGATCCAGGGAACTGAACTAATAAATTCAATCGTAGAACTCAGGTGATACACCAAGTGCAGCCTCTTCCGCCTCCTCCCTGGGTCCCAGGCACAGTGCCATGTTGGACAGGGCAGTAACCCAGGCCTCTAGTCACTGGTAACCCATAGGAGTTAGAACAGCTCTCCATGTTGCTGTTGTAAGTTTTGGCTTCACCAGGAAACTCAATAGGACCCTCTGTCCCCAGGCCACTCCTCCTCTGTATATGCAGGGACAGTATATACATTAATAACATGTAGGTAATAATATATATTGTGACACCTCACACAGCCAGTCATGAAGACTTGGAGCAAGAATTTGAACTGGCAATGTACCCTTGTCAACATCCCAAGATGCATTCTTAGCCAAAGCCAGAATGAATCAAGTCCTAAACTGGCAAAAGGATTGGGACTAAGAAGCCTTGAGGCACCTCCTAGCTTGGTGTGTAGCCCCAAGGCTGCCAAGAAGAAACGTAGCCAAGGAAAAGAGCAAATGGTCCCAGCTACAGGGCTAATGCAAGGGAGTCTCAACTCCCCCAGGAAGTTGAGAGCTAAAAAGTTCGGTTCCGATCTAGGGTGATTGATCCCCGTTAAAGGGTGCATAAAATAGGTGAGTGGGGAAGCCCACTTCCCCTGCACTCAGGGTGAAGGGTCTGGGTTGATCAGTTGACCATCTCCACCAAGAAGAGGAATCTCTACGTTGTAGTCTCTTTTATACCTTTCTCTTCTTCACCCCTCCACTTTTCTGTCCCAGTCCTTTTGCCTCCCCATCTCCAGTGCTCAAGAGTACACTGCTTGTACCATGTTCTGTTTATAGCCTTAACATTGGTACGTGGACTGGATAATGGCACTGGGGTTTAGTTTAGTTTTATCTATGGTGCTCTATTCTGCGGGTGTGGTAGAAGGTGCCTTGAATGCAGTGATACGGCATCAGCAAAGAGGTGGTGTGCATGAGAGATTCCCAAGGCTATAATTGCTCAGAGAGCCCTAGGCTCCCAGGAGGCCCCTGGGAGAACCCCTGGAACTGGCCAGAACTGAGGAGAAGTAGAGGGAGGATCATTTGGGGTCCATTTTGCACCTTTGATGACTAATATCTCCACCTCTTTGGGGGCGTTGCTTTGTCTCTAGGAACAGCAAAAGAAAAATTGTTTGGTTCTGTTGGGGTTAGGAATTGACTTGGTATAAGAAACTTCAACATTCTTGCCATCTCCCTGCATCTTATTTGGCAAAACCACACCCTGGTTAAATCCAGTTTTCTGTCTCAGCAGCTGAACTTGGGGAAGCACAGCCACGTATGACGCCAGAATCACTCCCAACCCATGAACTTAAACTCCAAGTGGGCCTCAGTGCTGCCGGGGACAAAATCACCTCACAAATCACCCTCAGCTCTTTGGTCTCAGGTGCACACACAGAATCTGCAGCAAGAATTGTGCTATAGCCAAAACCGGTTTGGCTCAATGGATAGAGCTTTGGCCTGTGGACTGAAAAGTCCCAGGTTTGATTCTGGTGAAGGGCATGTACCTTGGTTGCAGGCACATCCCCCAGTGGTGGGTGTGCAGGAGGCAGCTGATCGATGTTTCTCTCTCATCGATGTTTCTAACTCTCTATCCCTCTCCCTTCCTCTCTGTGAAGAATCAATAAAATATAAAAAAAATAAATAAATAAAAAAGAATTGTGCTGTAGCCACCACAGGTCCCCACTGAAGTATGAAGAGATGGAAAAGGAGCCCATCTGCGTGTGGGACTAAATCCCATACAAACACCAAACAGCCAGGCCCCACCTGCACTCCCCCCCTCCCCGCCCCCCCAACACTGCCCACTTGGCTACAAAGGAATTCGGAACATGCTCCCCAAGACTCTTCACATTGGCATGTGAATTCTTCTGAGCTGAAGGCAACTGAGGTAAATGTTTCTCCTGGGCACCCAGGAGAAACATTTACCTCTCCCTTAAAGAAATTAAGTGTGAGGCCTTGTCCAGAATAACATTTATCACCTGAGATAACTTTTTATAACCTTTCTCATAAGACAAGGCAAACTTCTAATTACTGAACATCTGCTCTTCTTACTGTCTGTCCCCTCTGAAGCCCCAGCTGCCTTACCTCAGCCCTAGCTCAGAATGTCACATATGTCATATATACTCCATTTTCCCTTTCTGTCTCTGGACCTCCCATGTCTGCGATTCTCATGTGGGGTTTCCATATGTAATGACATGCAGTCATTTTCTCTTGTTAATCTGTTTCATGTCTATTTGATTATTAGACCAGCCAGAAGAACCTGGAAGACTAGAGGAAAATTTCTTCGTCTCCCATAGCTACCCTGCCCCCTTCCCACAAGACCACTCCTTGGGGTAAGAGGAGGCTGCAGAGCACAGAACAGTGGCCCTTGGTATTGGGAATCAGGACGCATGTTTATCTCATGCTAACCAGCTCCCAGGAAACCTGCAGGGGAGACTCCACACACATCCCAGAATCCTCCCTGGCTCTTGGAAAACGGCCTTCCCCCACCCCGGGGAATGCAATGTGCCTCCTTTCTCTTACTCCTCCTGTACTGTTCACATGGAGCAGCAAACACAGAAAGACTTCATTCACAGGCGCCATCGCTTGGCCCTCTATTGAAAGCTTTCTGAAAATGCTAATTCTCAGACTGGATTCTTTTCAAACACTTTAAACTTCCGTATTCCCACTGAAAGCAGTTAAGCAGATCAAGACTTCCCTGGGCTAGAGGCTCCTTAGAGATAATATTTACATTTAAAGGAGAAACTCTGAACTGGCCAGAAAGCAAACCTTCAGGCTGTGAAGTCAGGCTTGATGACTGCAAGGTGGGAACACGGTTTCTAGGGCCTCACGCCATGGGGAGTGTGCCTATGTGAAACCCCATTTTGCTGCCTGTGCCCCACCCCCACCACTGCCTTACACCAGTCCTGGACGACTGGGCGCTCAATAAGACAGAGCTGTTACCCATCAGGCACTCAATCCAGTGGCCTGCACAAGTCTAATTGAGCCAACTCTCCCCTCCCAAAGGCCCTGGGTCTGCCTGTGCCCTTCACCTAACAGGACCAGGAGAGTCTAGCCTCAGCCCTTCCCCAGGAAAACAGACTCCCATGGGGATGACTTGTGTCCATAAGCATTGGGCATTTTAAGGCTTGTGTTTCTGTTTATGCCTACACACACCCTTTCCCACACCTCCCCTAGCCCCAACTTGGCATGTCAAAGACTAGGTCTCTTCTGCCTTGCTTCTGGCTCCACTTCCAGCCAGGTTTCCTGGAGTGCCCCTCCTTCCCCAGAGGCCCTACCGGAGGACCGGTACCCTCTCCTCCCTCCTCCCTCAGGTGGCAGATAAGATTCAAGCTGAGATCACTGAAAATGACAGGATTCCTCCTCTCCTCTCACTACCTTTTACACCCCCAAGATTACTTGGTTAAATGGACATTTTCCCTCCCTTTATTACATTTGGTTATTAGACCAGTTAGAAGAACCTGAAGCCACCAACTCCCTCAGCCAGTTCAGGTGTGCCCTAGGGGCCTACCCACCTCTCCTCCTCATACCACTGACTCATCCTGCGCTGGGCAAGGATACAGTAGGGCTTAAGCCGGGGCCTACAGTTTCCAGCGTTTCCTCTCACCCATCTTCACAAACCATCATAAACCCTTAAAGCTCAGGTAGAATTGAGATGCTTGACCCCCACATGAGCACCAGCTGTCACAGAGGTCTGCAGGCCCTGCCCCGAAGGGAACCTGCGGGGAGACAGGGAAGGGGAGCAGACTCTCCCACCCCAAAATGGGTCTCTGGCATGTGCTTGATTTTGAGCCCAAAGCCATCAAGACACAGCAGACTCTGGAAAGCCTTTTTACTTTCCCCTACCTGCCTAAAAGAATTCATACCGTGGGCCTGTACCAGTAAGAGAGCTATTACTGGAGATAACATATTTTATACCTGGGGGGAAAAAATCTGCTTAGCAGGGAAAATAGCTGATTGCCCAACATCCATTCCACCAATCTTCCTGTGAATGGCCCGCCTTCCCCCGTGAAGCCCAGGCCCCTACCCCTTCCCTCAGCTGAGGGTGCCTCACACGCCACAATTACCTTCGAGCCTCACCTCTTTGTGGGCTCCTGTATATATGTATATAAGTTCGTTTTTCTCTTCTTAATTTACCTTATGTCCTTTCATTATTAGAACAGCCAAAGAACCTAGAGAATAAGAAGGGGAAATGTTTCTGCCTCTATCACAAGGAACTGAACTCATAGCACTGTGGAGCCCTATTTGGTCATCCAGCAGCCAAGACACGGCCTTGTGTCAGAGCCAGTCCTAAACTTGCTGCCATACCTCACCCCAGCCCAGCCTCGTTCCTCTGTGGGGGGCCAGCAAAGTACAGCATAGGTGGGCATAAGCACAGAGGGTGGCTGGGTGCTCCCTGGGGGCTACCTCAATGTTCTTCCCTTGCAGGGTCTCCCTTGCTTTTAAGATTTTTCTCCTGCCCTAACCACTTTGGCTCAGTGGATAGAGTGTTGGCCTGCAGACTCAAGGGTCCCAGGTTTGATTCTGGTGAAGGGCATGCATGTACCTTGGTTGCAGGTATATATCCAGTAGGGAGTGTGCAGGAGGCAGCTGATTGATGTTTCTCTTTCATCGATGTTTCTAACTCTCTATCCCTCTCCCTTCCTCCCTGTAAAAAAAAAAAAATCAATAAAATACATATTTTAAAAAAGTTCTTTCTCACATTATCTGGCTCCCCAAGGAAGCCCATAAAATCTCCCCAAATCCCACATTTTTTGTATTCAATAGCTCCCAAAACAATTGTCTTAAGGGAGAAGAGGGAGTGTGGAGGGAGAAAAGAAAGTTAGGAAAGAAGAAAGAGTGATGGAAAAAGTTAAAGATAGGGACAGAAGAAGGAAGGGAAAGAAGGGAGAGGAGAGAAAGAGGAGGTAAGAGGACGGATGGGGAAGGGGAAGGAAGACAGAAAGGAGAATGAGATGAAAGAAAGGGAGGAAACAGGAGAAAGGACAAGGTACCAGCCACTAGACGAAGGTTATTTCTTGTTTTCCAAATCAGTACTTTTCCTACCAAGTTCTGCTCACGTGAACATAAAGAAGCAAATTGTTTCAGAAATCCTAGTTTCACTTTATATCTCTGTTGAAAACCAGGGAAATCAGAAAGGCCTATTTGTATTATGATATTTTCTAGGTCATGGACAGAGAGAAGGGGAAAAAAATATTCTTGGTGTACAGCCTTTTTTTCTTTTTAAGTTCTTTGTGGTTTCCTGTTAATTAATACCTGAACCTTCACCATGTAAATAATGAGGGTAAAGATAAACTTCACCGGCCCTGGACTCTGACCTTTGTTTAACACCCACCCCCTCTCTGATCCATCCTCTACCCCATCACTGGAAAAGTCGGAATTGTTAACCTGGAAACTTAGAGTCAGAGAATAGAGACAGAGCATGTGGGTTTTAGACAAGCCTTGCAAGAAAGTACCAAAATAACAGCACCTCTGAAAGTTCTTCCCTAGTTAGCTGCTGCCGTCTTCTCTTCCTCAAAGAGGTGACTTCTATAGGGTCACCCTTTCCATTCGCTTGGTGGGACTCCATGGCTCTGCCGCCCTCTCCACTTATGACCAGTCAGGCTGTACTTTGCGTCACTGCCCTGCACTTAGGCAAGCATCATTTAAACAAGTGATTTGCTCAGCCGGCATGGCTCAGTGGTTTAGTGTGGACGTATGAACCATGAGACCACACTTTGATTTCCGGCAGGGCACATGCCCGGATTGTGGGCTTAATCCCTAACCCACAGGAAGGGGGCAAGCAGGAAGGAGCGGGCAAGCAGGAAGCAGCCAATCAATGATTCTCTCTCATCATTGATGTGTCTATCTTCCTCTTCCTTTTCCTTACTCTCTGAAATCAATAAAAGTATATTTTATTTTTTAAAATATATTTTATTGATTTTTTTTTTTACAGAGAGGAAGGGAGAGGGAGAGGGAGAGAGTTAGAAACATCAATCAGCTGCCTCCTGCACACCTCCCACTGGGAATGTGCCCACAACCAAAGTACATGCCCTTGACTGGAGTCGAACCTGGGACCCTTCATTCCGCAGGTCAATGCTCCATCCACTGAGACAAACCAGGTAGGGCAATAAAAGTATATTTTTTTAAAAAGTGATTTAATTCTTCTCACTATTGTTGAGCACACCTATAGTATTGATTTCTCTTCATGTTGGAGTGCTTTCTCTAAAAGTGTTTTCAAAGAGGGACTCTATGTGATAAACCTTCCCATCCTTTGAATACCTGATAATTTAACTAGAAATCAAAACTCAGTTTTAGCCAAAACCGGTTTTGGGTGTGCAAGAGGCAGCTGATTGATGATTCTCTCTCATTGATGTTTCTAACTCTCTGTCCCTCTCTCTTCCTCTCTGTAAAGAATCAATAAAAAATATATATATATTAAAAACCTCAGTTTTAAATATTATTCAACTACCTTAAGGCCAGTGTTGCTGTTAAGAAATCTCAAGTCAGCCGAAACCAGTTTGGCTCAGTGGTAGAGCATCGGTCTGCGGACTGAAAGTTCCCAGGTTCGATTCCAGTCAGGGGCATGTACGTTGGTTGCGGGCACATCCCCGGTGGGGGGTGAAAGGGGGTGCAAGAGGCGGCTGGTCGATGTTTCTCTCTCATCGATGCTTCTAGCTCTCTATCTCTCCCTTTCTCTCTGTAAAAAAAAAAAAAATCAATAAAATATATTTTTTTAAAAAGAAATCTCAACTCAATCTGATTTTTGTTCCTTCCTTACTCCTCTGCCATCCAGCTGCCTAGAATACAGATGTGATCCTCAGTAAATATAGGTTGAGCAACTGAATCACTGAGCAGGTGCTGGAATCCATCCCTGAGTTCAGTCCAGGGCTTCTTGCTTCTACTCTTGGGCTTTTCCCACCCAAGCTTCTGATTCTCTGCCTGGGCAAAGCCGGTACACAGAGGCAAGAGGTCATGTTAACAAAAATATAGGGTCCTTCCCACAAACATTGGCTAAAACGACTGCTGGATGATCAGTCTTAGGGCAAGAGTACTTGTGCATCTTTGAATCCCCACTGCTTACACACAAAAGGTGCCCACCCTAGCCGGTTTAGCTTAGTGGATAGAGCGTCAGCCTGCATGCTAAAGGTCCCAGGTTCCATTCAGGTCAAGGGCACATGCCCGGGTTCCTGGGTAGGGGGCATGCAGGAGGCAGCCAATCAATAATTCTCATCAATGATGTTTCTATCTCTCCCTCTCCCTCTTCCTTCCTCTCTGAAATCAATAAAACTATATATTTTTTTAAAGGTGCTCAACAAAGGTTTGTTTTATTGAATGGACATACAAATTCTCCAAGAGATGATTCATTGTAAGTATAGGAGGCAGGCCAGAGGGTAACTAGACCAGCGGATTGAGAGTTTTATGGTAAAGGTGAGAGCTGAGTATTAATAGGTTATTGACCTAAAGGGCCTTTGGTATAATAGATGGGAAGTAAAGAGCCTCGACCATCACTGCAACGACGCAGCCACTGGCCACATGCAGCTATTTAATTTAAATAAAATAACATGTAAAACTCACTTCCTCAGGTTTACTGGCCAGATTTCACGCTATCAATAACAGCCACGGGTGGCTAGTGACTACTGCATTGGACAGTACAGATAGATTAAAGCACTTCTCAGAATGGTCTGTTGCACAAAACTGACCTAGACCCTTAAAGGAAAGGTATTCCTGCCAGTAATAAGTATTTGCTGAAATAATGTGCCCTCAATTCATTTTTTTGTTAAATGCTGAAGGCCCCTAGTGGGGAGGGGAGGGGGTGGTAAATGACAGAATAAAAGAAACCCCTGCTTCCTTGCTTTTCTCCCTTCCTTACCCCTTCTCTGGTGCCCACTACCACCACCATCACCCCAAAGCAGCACTGTTTGGGGCAGGCCCTGGCTCCACAGGTTCCTATCCCAACACCCTATAGATTCCTCAGACGCATCTGCTCCAGGTCTCAAAATTAACTTGGGAGGGATATATTTGTTCACGTGATCATTTCCCCCTTTTGCTATCCTGAACCTAGTAGGTGCTTAATAAGTATTTGTTGGGTGGCTGGAGGAGCGAACGCAGGGCTCAGTGTGCCCCCTTCCCCAACAGGCCCCGGGGAGGCTGGGGGACACAGCTTCTGCCGCCAGCCCAGCAGCCGGCCGGAGCGCGGAGAGCCGGGCCCGCGGGCGGGGGGTCGGGCCGGCCCGGCCCTGGGGGCGTGTCCTCCCGGGGTGAAGGCGGGCGGTGGCGGGCGGTGGCGGGCGGCGGGGCTGTAGCTGCGGCCGCACCGGGCTAGCGGCGGCGGGCATGGAGCGCGAGCTGGAGGCGCTGGCGGCGCGGCCCGCACTCCCGGCGGCGCGGCCGGAGCCTCCGTTCGCGGCTCTGGTGGAGGCGGCGGGCGGGCGCGGGCAGGTGCTGCTGGTGGGCGAGCTGTGGGAGCGCGAGCAGAGCCGCGCGCTGCTGCGGGACTTCGCTCGCGCCGTCTTCCCGCCGGAGCCGGCCGCGCGCAAGCCGGGCGACGCGGCGGCCGAGGGCGCCGGCCCCGGGGCGCGCGGGGCGCGGTGGGTGCCCGGCACGGCCGGGGCGCGTGCCATCCGCTCCACGCTGGTCTTCGTGCTGTGCCGCGCGTCCTCGCTGGCCGCCCGGGAGCCGCGGCGCCGCCTGCGGGAGATGCTGCGCGACGTGCGCGACCGGCGGGTGGCCGGCGCGGCGCTGGTCGGGGTGCTGGTGGCCGAGGCGGGGCCCGAGGACGCGGCGGCGCCGATGCTGCGGCTCCTGGAGGCGCTGCTGCGCACCGTGTTCGGCCGCCAGGTGGGAGGCCCGGTGCAGGCGGCCACCTACTGCCCCGGCCACCCCGCCGCCAGCCTGGCCGTCCAGGCCGCCGCCAGCAGGGCCCTGCAAGCAGCCGGGCCCGCGCGACCAGGTGAGGGGACGCAAGGCCCGGGGGGCGCAGGCGGGCGGTGGCTGGGGCAGGGCCCCGAAGTTGGAACTCTTTAGGCCAGCCCGCTGGTGCACCGAGGTAAACTGAGGCCCCGAGAGGGGAGGTGCCTAGCATTGGTCCTCTCAGCTAGCACGGAGCAGGCCCTGGGCCAGGGGGCGAGTTTGCCCCGGGAGGATCCTGAAAGCATGGGGAGGGACAGTGGCTCGGGAAAGCCGAGGGAACGAACAGAAGGCAAGGGGAGTTGATGGAGCTAGAGGGGTTACTGGGCTGGTCAAAGATCTGGGATCTGGGGGCCTGGGGGAAGATAAGAGGGGAGAGGAATGGGAAGAGATAGGAAAGCCTTGGGTTGCACAAATTTCAAGGAGGGATTAGGACCGAGTTAGGACTGGAGGGAGGGGATTGGTGGTGCCTGGAGCTCCTAGCTCCTAGGACGCTGCGCAGCTAAGGTGGGAAGGTGGGGAGGCGGAGGAGGCTCGGTGTGTAAGCGCCACGGGTCCTAGGAAGAAGGCAAAAGGAATAGGTGCTGGGACTTGGAGGTGTGGGGAAAGGGTGTGAGGGACTGAATGCGGACACGGAGTTTTCTAGTTCCTCTTGGCTACCCGCCCTGGTTGTGCAGCCACTGCAGTGCCACCTCCCTTCCCTCTCCTGCAGTCTGCGGAGCCGAGTGAGGGTCTTTTTCTGCTGCCATCCACAGAGTCAGAAGCTCCTCCCTCCTGGTACACAAGGTGTTCCAGGAGCTTTCCGGTGTCCTCGGGTTAAAATACAGACATTAAGTACAGCTGGATCTGGCAAAGCTGGGAGATATCGGAGCATTCTTTGCAATTCCTGCTTCCCCCACCGCCAGCTCCTGCCTTTCTCCAGGCCCTCTAGTCTTCCCTCCATTCTCTGCCAAACTTTCTTTTGAAGACAGAGGCTGCTGTGCTCTGCCTACCTGGACACTGCTGTGTAAATCAGCAACCCGGAGGTGCCAGACTTGGGGGGCGGGGGGTCCCAGCAAGGAGACCTGGTACCTCTGATGTCACAAAAGTCACAGACCTACCTGCCAGCCTGGCCTGCTAGGTGCAGGCCATCCATAAGAACCTGCCCTAACCTCTCCCGTCCCCCCCCCCCCTGCCTGCCCCATGCCCACAGCCCTTTCTGCTGCATCTGAAACTCCACAGCCTGCATCCTGGAAGACAGGGAACATCCTGAGGTGGACTGTCATTCTGATTGCTGACCTGGCCCCCTGGGAGGAAATTTTCTACCTTCCCCCACCCCCAATGAGCTGGTGCCTGGAAAGTTCTGAGCCCTTAGCTTCTCCCATTGCCCAGGAAATAGCTTTTAATTCCCCGAAGCCAAGCTTGCTCTGGCCTCCTAAGCTTTTGTATACACATTGCAGTTGCCTGGGATGAAAGTCTTAAAGGCCTTTTCTTTCTTCCTTTTTTTCTCTTCTTTCTTTCTCTTCTTTCTTTCTTTCTCTTATTTTTTTCTCTTATTTCTTTCTTTCTTTCTTTCAAGGCCTTTTCTTTCATTCCACCTCCTCACCTGACCAACCCCATTTCATCATTCAGAACTGGACTTCCTCCTCCAAGAAGTCTTCCTGTTCTCCCTTATTCCTTTACAAGTTCAGAAATGAAATCCCAAAACTTACCTCCAGTCTCTAGTTTCTTACCAATGGCTTTGGCACTTTTCCTTGTGCATTTAATCACCGATATATTCCCATTTCCCATTACCTGCCAGGCATGCAGAACCCTTGCCTCTTTTTAAACACTAAATTGATCTCTACTGCATTAAAATAAAAACACGCTAAACAATATGAAACCTTTTGCTAATGACCACAGGTTATGAGCATGATTATTGTCCACTAATTTATTTGTCCACTAATTTTGTCTGGGCTTTTGCAGTGGGCAGCACCACTCACACATTCATGATGCTAAGGTTTTCCTAGCAATTGCGTATGGCTTTTTTAAGTCTCCCAGTCCCCTTCCTCACTGCCTCATGGTTATTCTTTTTTTTTTTTTTTTTAATATATTTTATTGATTTTGTACAGAGGAAGGGAGAGAGATAGAGAGTTAGAAACATCGATGAGAGTCATCGATTAGCTGCCTCTTGCACACCCCCTACTGGGGATATGGCCGCAACCAAGGTACATGCCCTTGACCGGAATCGAACCCAGGACCCTTCATCCCCAAGCCGACGCTCTATCCATTGAGCCAAACAGGTCTCGGCCTCATGGTTATTCTTATACTTTTAGATTTACTGCCTTTTTACATGCCCTCCTTCTCACCTAGTTTATGCCTAATCCAGCTGCCATTGGGTTGAAAAACTAGGAATCCAGTCTTTTAGAACTGGGTTTGAATTAAGAGTAAATAAGCCCAAAGTAAAGAAAAATGAACACCGATTTTGCTTTGGCTTCCTGGAGTTGTTTTGTGTGTGTTTAAAAACAAAAAAACAAAAAAACTCCATTGCAGTTACCTTATTCCATATAGTTGGGGCTCTTAAGTGATCCGTACATCACTTGGGTGATACTATAATAAGGAAACTAGAATCAACATATAAGTGTTTTGTATGTGATTATTTAAAAAGATTAAGCCTTTTCATAGTAAGAAATAGTTTGAACTAAAAAGCAGGGGGAAATTACTGCTCCTTGCATCTTTTCTTTGGTGCTATGTAATTGTAGTTCATATCCTGTCATTCTTGTCAAGGTAATTTCCCCAACATGGTACCTACGTCATAGAGTTTTTGTGAGGGTGAAATGATATAATATATATAATGCAATCCTTATATAAAGCACCCTGACCAGAGATTAAATCTGAAACCTAGGTTTGTGCCCTGACTGGAATCAAACCCACAACTTTTTGGTGTACAGGACGATGCTCCAGCCAACTGAGCTGTATGGCCAGGGCTGTTTGTTTGTGTTTGTGTTTGTTTGTTTTTTCAAGTACAAAAACTCCTCCCCTTTTTGCAAATCAGAATCTTTGTTTCTAATCAGACAGTTGAAACTAGGGCAGTTAATAGTTGAAGCTCTTGGTTTGCTTAACTGAAAACCTCTCAGTTGTGTCAAGCACCATGTGACCTGCTGCCTCTGGGACTTTGTGTTCCTTTTAGCAGAAGGAGCCTGGGAGAGACCGGGCCTCCCGGTGCTGTTGGCGTGCTTCTCCTGGGGTCCCTGGAGCCGGGGGAAGGACCCGGATGCCACTACCTCCCCCAGTGGTCCCGCTCAGGGTGAGTGAGTTGCTTCCTGCTCCTGGGCTCAGGGCCACGTGCTTGGGTTTAAGAGAGTGGTCACATGCACAGGAACCTTAGGGAGAGAGAGGACTGACATCCATGGAGCACTGACCATGTGTTCAGGGTGAGAGTGAGCAGTGTGTGAGGTGCCCCGGCCACCAGGGGTCAGCACACCGGCCTGATCACAGGGCTCTAGCCCCAGGAGTCTCTGACATGGCAAGGCACGTGGAGTCAGACCCATGGTCTCACAGAGCAAGTGAGGGGGTGTCAAGGGATTGTCTTAGTCAGCAATGGGAAGATTTGAAGAGGGAGCATCATGAACAAAGGCTTAACAGTGTAATGTCATGCTCCGAAAAGGGACCCCTTTCAAGAGTGCCAGGGGTGAGGTGCAGAAGGAGACTGCTGAGAGCTGAGGCTGAAGCAGAGAGTTGAGACCCTGGCGATTTCTGAGCAAAGGCCGCGGAGACTAGGGCTGTGTTTAGAGAGGTGACTGGACGGGAGGAGCAGGGAGCCACCAGAAGCAGACCCACCTAGGAGGGGCTGCATAGTCCCAGGAGGGACGATGAGGGGCCTGGCCCAAGGGGGGCAGTGTTGGATTGGAGAGGAAGGAGCTCACCAGCCCGGAGCCATTTCTAGGGTAGAATCATCAGGCTGCTAAGGGGAGGTGAGGGAGAAGGAAAAGAAAGTGAGATCCACAGAGGTACTCCATAGGCTTAGTTTGCTGTGACCCAGAGAGGACTGACAATTGTTTACTGCTGAACTACTAGGATATGATCCGAGAAATGCATCCTAGGCGATTTTGTCACTGTGCAAACGTCACAGAGTGCACTTATACAAACCTGGATGGCGTAGCCTGCTACGTGCCTAGGGATAGCCTATTGCTCCTCTGCTTCGGAGCAATGGGGGTTTTTCCGCTCCACTATAACCTCATAGACCAAAATGTCATTATGGGCGCCTGAGCTGCTTAAATCAACACCCATTTATCCTCTTATACTTTCCAAGGGTCAGGGTCAGGACACAGCTTAGTGGGGCCTTCCATTCAGGGGCTCCCAAAGCTGCCTCACTGTGGGCAGGCTCATGCCTTGACGGAGCCTGGATCCTCTTTCAAGTTCATCTGATTGCTGGCAGAATTCATTTGTTTGCCACCGTAGGACTGAAGGCCCTGCCTTCTTGCTGACTGTCAGCTCTGAGAGTTCCCTCCTCTCAGGTGCTCCTTCAGTGGGCAGGGACTCCTTGGGCTCCTACCATGTAACATAACCACAGGAGTGACTCTCTGACACCTTTGTCATAGAAGGGGCCCAAACAAGGGAGTGACTAATCATATTCACAGGTCTCACCACACTCAAAGGAGAGGATTATGCAGGATGGGTTTATACCAAAGGGTAGGGATCTTTGAGGCCATCTGAGAATTCTATTGGAAAGCTCAACAAGAACAGAAGAAGGAACACAAATATTTATAAAGCATTCTCTTAATCCCATCACTCAAAGGCAAATACAAATTCCTATTTGGAGTAGACCCATTCTGCCCAACCATCTGTCTATATCTCCTTGTACTATTTAAATTTTAATAAACTTGCTTCTATATAGTATATAAAATCTGCATCAGGTATTTAAAATTTTTGATTGCAAAAAATGTTAACTTAGACCTCTCCATCATCATTTTGGGATATTGACATTGAAATAATCTACAGATCTTGATATTCAGATTTCCCCAATGTCACTTGCAGTTGTGTGTGTGGGGTGTGTGTGTGTGTGTGTGTGTGTGTAATTCAAGAAACTTTAGACATCATTTTGAATGCCTGAATCCCATTATATGGGTGAATCAGTTAATTTCACTCAATCCCTTTGTTGGACTTCAAATCAATTAGGATGTAATTGAATTCAGTTACAGATCAAGAAACCGTGACTCAACTAGCACAAGCCGCACAGACACTCACGATCTCACTAGGTGATTCAGCGTCAGAGCCCGCTGATTCAGGGGCCCAGTGACCCCACCAAGGACTCAGGATCTTTCCTTCTCTCTGAGGGGCCATCCTCGTGTTGTTTCATCCGTAGTCTGGTAGCAAGATCACTGCAGCATTTCCACTAATTATTCCTAATTATCTCCTTAGGATAAAATCCTAGAAGTGGAATTGCTGGGTCAAAGGGTATGTACATTTTTAAGGTTTTTGATATGGTTTTTGCTGTGTTTTTTTGAGTAGATAGTCACTGGGGCCAATTTCCTTCCTTTGGTTCCTAGCTTACTCACTCATAGTCTCTACCTTCTGATTGGGTGATTCCCTCTCTTGTGTTGCAGGTAACTTCCGGGAACCGGAGGAGGAGCTGGCGCTGACAGTCATACTTCCCAACGGAGACTGTGAGGATCCTGGAAAGGGGTCGGGAGCCTGTGACCGAGCTGCCCACACACCCGACGAGCCCACTGGAGACTCCAGATGAAGTCTGGGCCCCGGGGGGGGGGGCTGCTGCAGCTCCTCACTGCGCCCCCAGGCCTCCACGCTGACCCTGGGATTGCAGTCACTACGAAGCCCCACCTTCCAGGGAATTGCCCAGTTGACAGTTACCAGCGAGGCAGCTCGACTTACTCAGCTAAGCCAGGCCTGGGAAAATGTATCCTCTGGGAACTGGGTCCCTCCCCCACCTCCAGTGTGGTCACTCTGGTCTCAGTGAGGTTGTTTGTTCTCTCTGCGCCTTGGTTTCTCTGTGCCACTGAGACAGAGGGCGGCTTACTTTGAGGCTCTGTGGTGCTGGGGCAACCGTGGTTGTGTGCATGAGCATCCATCACTTCACATGCAGCTGGAAAGAACTCTGGACCAGGAGTTATCAAACAGGAAGAGGGGAGCTCTTAGACCTGTCACTCAGCCAGGGGACAGGCTACCCACCTGCACACAGCACTGGAAGTGTGTGTGTGTGTGTGTGTGTGTGTGTGTGTGTGTGTGTGTGTGGCTTCACTGTGACTGTGGGGCACCCCTGGCATTTAGTGGGCACCTCGAATTGTGTAGGGCAAGCTCCAAAAACAGAATTGTTCCACTTTGAGATATTGGATGAGCCAATCTCTTCCCCTTGTCAAATTCTAGGAAGAGCCCTCCAGAGCAGGAGGGTTGGGGTTCCTGGGACCTTGGCTCCTGAGCAAGTCAGAATAAAGACTGCACTGCCACCTGGAAGCCTGGGGGTCTGGGGCCTGGGGGCCAGAGCAAGATGCTCTGTGTGCTGCTGGCCCAGGACAGAAATAGCCTTGCACAGCCATGAGAAGAAAGAGCGGTCTTTCTTCCTCACGTTGCCATTGACTCTCTGTGCCAAGTTCTTTTGAGAATAAGGCACCAAGCAGAAGGGAAGTTGGGTTATGGATTAATACCAGGGCGTAGGACTTGCTCTCAACCTCAGCTCCTGACCTAAGGCCAAAGCCGACCCAGCCCAGAGGTGCCGAGTGCAGAATCCCCTTTTCTCTGGTTATGAGTCAAACAGGGTCAATGACGTTCCTTTAAAAGCCAGGAAGACCACCTGTTCACTCAGAGGAGGAGCTCTGCCTTACCTCCCTTGTCTTCCTTGCCCGCCAGGAGAAATCCAGTCTCTGGAATTTCTGATTTTCCCTGGTAGGAAGTACTATCGGGAAGTAGTTAAATTCATTCATTCATGCGTGACTCACTCGGCAGACATGCAATTGTGCCTACTGTTTGCCCAGCGTTCTGGCAGGTGCTGCATAACTTCCTTGAGTTATTTCTGCCAAAATAACTGTGATAGTGCCAAAATGTGGACTGGCAAGCCTGTGGCTGTGGGGCTCTGTGATGCAAAAGAGGACCCTCGCTGCTCTGTGGCTCAGTTTCTTTTCTGCGACAGGGAGCCTAATCCTTACGGGTGTGAGGGCAGGTCGGATGACATCTTAATTTGGGGTGGTTTGACAGCATGTGTCATTTTAATAATGCAAAAATATCTCTCCAGTAGAAGGACCCAATTGACTGCCTTCTGCCCAAGAATGGACTCAATGAATTACTGTTGATGTCGTTGTAAAATATGGGGACTGGTATTGTTAGAGCTGCTCTATTTTCCTATTTATCCATTAATTTCTTTGTAATGATTTGGTTGGAATTTTGTTATTTGGTCGGGGGAGGGTAGAAAAGTCTAAGGCAGAAGTTGAAAGGCAGAAGCCTCCGCTGTGTTTAAAAACTCAGGAGTTTGTTGCCAATATTTGATACTTGGGGGATTGCACATAAAAAGCTTGTTTTCAGGGAGCGGGGAGGGGTGTGCTATAATTCCTCCCCCACACACTGGAGTCCCTTTCTCACCCTCCCCTCTACTGCACTTCACTGAGATAAGCCCGCTGCCTGGTCCTGGCCCTGGGAGGCATTTGAGTTTGCAAGCCTCTGGTACAAAGGGTGGTGTGCACATTTTTTCACCACTTTCAGTATTTCCTGTGAATATTCTTTGTTGACTAAGATTGGGTTCTGCCTCCCAACTGATAAGGACTGGACTGCCATCCTCCCAGGCCCCTCTGGGCTTCCATGGCACACGGCTAAGATAAGCAGCGTCCTTTCCTCTTGTCTAGCAGACAGAAGAGTTGGGTGCTGGATTGACCTTGGTGTTAGGCCTCCTCCTCAGTGACCATTACAAGGCCTGAACTCTGGGGTGGGCCTGTCTGGGAGTGGAGGCCCAGGATTGGGTTAGTGGTGCCGGGAGCCATTGACCAGGGGCCCCCGGCGGGTCACAGTCTGGGCTCTTGGTACTAATCTTTCTAACAAGGCAGTTGAACTGCTTCTGGCTTGAATAGATGATTCCTTAGACCTAATAAAACCGAACGGTGCCTCACTGCTGTCTAATGCAAACACAACGGCTCTTCCCCTTTCTGTCTTGGGAGCCGGGCTTCTGGGCAAATGGCGGGAAGCTCTGAAATAGTCTAGCCTGAAGGTCCACGAGCACCGCCCTGAGGGACATCTCTGCAACTTTACCGGCTGGTGCTGGGAAGTATTTAAAAAGAGATTTTTTAAAAAAAAAAAGATAGTATTTAGCTCGGTGGTTAACAGGGAGTATATGTTTGCGTGTGCACACGCACGTTTCATGCGATAAAATGGCCTTAACAGAGTCTCAGAGAGCCCCTTATAATATTAGTGTCAGTTTCTCTCAAAGTATTTCTCTCCAAGATTGGCCACACAAGAGGAGTTCCTAGGTTGTCAAGCCAAAACCAAGGCAAACCTGCACCCCCAAACTGTGGTCTAAACAAACCCCTCTTACCCCAGACAGAACCAGGCCCCTCATTTTGAGTCCTGGTTGTAGATGTTGGGTTCCTTTCTTGTCACCCTGACTTTCTTCTCTCCCTCACTGAGTGCCAAGGTCTTCGCAGAGTGGGGTGTTGCCTCGGATCATTGCCCCAACCCCAAACTACTCTCCCCCTGACCACCTGCCCCCAAGTATACAGCCAGCTCCAGAGGTCCTGGCTGCCGGGACAGCCGCTCCCAGCCCCTTGCTCCCTGACAGGAGTGGGTTTCATTTCAGCCTCTACACCTGGTCTGGTCTGAACTTGTGCCAGAACCCAAGCAGGCGAGACGGAGAAGCCGGCCAAAGGCCTGGCCTGAGTGGGCGGTCAGAAGGAACAAGACCTGGGGCGAAACTAAACCTGCCCTGCCCAAGGGAAACCTAACGCCAGGCACGCATGTAGCTTTAGGTCTTCTAGTAGCCACATTGGAAAAACAAAATGAAACAGGTGAAATAATCTTAATGATATCTCTTATTTAGCCCAATATGTCCAAAATAGTTTTTTCAGCTGAAACCTATTTGGCTCAGTGGATAGAGCGTCGGTCTGCGGACTGTAGGGTCCCGGGTTCGATTCCGGTTGGGGGCATGTACATTGGTTGCGGGCACATCCCCAGTGGGGGTTGTGCAGGAGGCAGCTGGTCGGTGTTTCTCATCGATGTTTCTGACTCTATCTGTCCCTCTCCCTTCCTCTCTGTGAAAAATCAATAAAATATATTTTAAAAAATAGTTTTTCATCTGTAAATATTAAGGGGAAAAAATGAGACATTTGAATCTTTGAAATCCTGTGAGAATTTTACACCTAGAGCCCAATTCAAATATTAAATTTTTATCCAAAATACGTGGTCTGTCTAGATTTTGTTAAATTTTCAGTTGAGAAAATAGATTCACATCCTCAGTTTGTTTCAAAATATACTTAAAATCTTCCCTATAACTGAATTGGTTATCAGTCTTAAATTTCAATGAAACAAAATTAAACATAAAACAGTTTTTGCCCTAGCCGGCTTGGCTCGGTGGATAGAGCATTGGGCCTTGGACAGAAGGGTCCTGGGTTTGATTCTGGTAGAGCATGTACCTTGGCTGCAGGCTCAATCCCCAATCAAATGTGTGGTCAGGGCATGTGTGGGAGGCAGCCAATCTAAGTGTTTCTCTCATATTGCTGTTTCTCTTTGTCTCTCCCCCATCCTTCTACTCTCTCTAAAAATCAATAGAAAAATACTCTGGGGTGAGGATTCGAAACAACAACAAATCCGTTCCTGAGTTCACCTGTGGCTCGCGGCGATGGGGGTGCCGCAGTGATGGTCTGGAGCACTGGAAACGTGCTGGAGGCCTGCCTTGGGGGTTCATTGTGGCCCCTCCCACCTCTGGCACTTACCCAGAGGTGGTTAGTCATCCAGACCCTGGGCAAGGTGAGGACAGTGACTTCCAGGATCAACTCACTCAGGGCAACCTTCCGGATAGGAGTTGCCTTCTTGAGCATGATCCTTAAAGGAAGGAAAGGCCAGCGTCTTATGGCTTCCTGGGTCTCTCTGTGCCTCAGTGAGCCGAGGCCGATTCCAACACTGGCCAGGTGTTTCACTCCCACCAAGCACCCAAGGTGGGGAGGGAGGCCTATGTCACCAGCTGCATTGCACTTTTCTTCTGGCATGAATAAATGCTTCAAGCAGCAGCCTGGCCAGTCCCGTGACATAAGATCTGAGGTTTATTGAGCACTGTTCTATGCCAGACCCTTGAAGAGAGCACTTCCCCTCTCAGCAGCCTTGCCAGGAAGATGGACCTGCCCCTCTACAGCAAGGCTCGGCGACCTCAGGGCCACAACCAGCGCTAAGTGACAGAGCAGCGTCTCCTGGCTCCCACACCCGCTCTGTGTGCCTCGTCGCACTGTAGCTCAAAAAGCAATCAAGCCTGATTTTTGACAGTTTGGCTGAGGCCTCCTGTGGCCCAGGGTTTAAATGCCAGGAGGCCAACCAACGGACACAAAACTCTGGGGAGGGTGGGTATGTATGGGGGGTGGCAATGGTAAAATATGTACACAGATAATAATTTAATTAAAAAATTAAATTAGCCGAGACCGGTTTGGCTCAATGGATAGAGCGTCGGCTTGGGGACTGAAGGGTCCCGGGTTCGATTCCGGTCAAGGGCATGTACCTTGGTTGCGGGCATATCCCCAGTGGGAGGTGTGCAAGAGGCAGCTGATTGATGACTCTCTCTCATTGATGTTTCTAGCTCTCTATCTCTCTCCCTTCCTCTCTGTACAAAATCAATAAAATATATTTTTGAAAAAATAAAAAAAATTAAATAAGTAAATAAATAAATAAATAAATAAATAAATAAATGCCAGGAGGCTAGGGGTCTCGGGTGTAGGAGTTGGTGCTCACAAGGCGAACACCACTTCCCGAATTCCTCATCGTCTGTGGAGCACCATGACCACTAGAGGGCGCCACAACGGGGTCCTGGAGATGCTGGGGCAAAAGCTCAGAACTGAAATCCTGTTGGAGGTGGGCACAGGGGCAAAGAACAGTTCCTCCCTTTGCCCTTACAGAGGCCCTGACCAAGCCCCTACTTGTGTGAGCCCATAGCTGTCCTTGTTTGGGCTCCTAAAATTGGAGGGAGGTAGTTGTTTATATACAGAGCACTTGGTAAGAATTCTCTCTGTGTTTTACTAAGTCCCAAGTCTTTGCTGAAAATAGTTTGTCTGGGAAAGGGCAGGGGTTTCTGAAACTTAGATCTGAATTCTAGCCTTGTGTCAATAACTAACTGACAGCCCTCGAGTACTTCCTTGTTCCGTTGGAACATAGACAAAGACATGACTAGCTGTAGTGGGGTAAAAGCTGTAAGAGAACACATAGTGGGGTAGGCAAGGAAGGCTTCCCGGAGGAGGTGCTGTTTGAGACTCAAGACAAGTCATATTAGACAGAGGTGGGAGGGGGGGAGGGAGGAAATCCTTGAAGACTGAAGAAAGAGCAGGTACCAAGGTCAAAAACAAGATTCATAGCCTCATGGCCGCTCTGGGAGTCACATAGTTCTGGATGGATGAAGCATGGCAAGCCAGGGACATGAACATGGAAGGTAAGCAGGGTTGGGTGAAAGCCCCAGAGGAGCCTGAGGAGAGGCTCCTTGCCTTCCTGTTTCCCGGTAATGCTTTTGGCTGGCTGTGAAAGTGGACTGGAGACTTGTGAGAGAGCAGACAGGAAGTCCAGGCTGCTGGAAACTGTTGCAGCTGGAAAAGAAAGAAGAGGGGAAGGCCACCAGCGAGTAACGGAGCGACATGGGAACTGGGCTGGTCTGAGAAATGTTAAGGAGACCAGATCTGGTTCAAACCAGATCAAGGTGCCTCTTAGGGTCCTGCTTCCATAACTGATGGATACCCTTCCCCACACTGAGATCCAGGCAGGGGACATGGTGGGTGGGCTGGGAGGCATGGAGAAGTCTGTGCAGCTCTGAGGTTAAGAAGCATCAAGCAGACATGTCTGGTAGGTGTGTGAGCCTAATGCTCAGGAGGCAGGGCAAGGCTGCAGGAGTACATGTTAGGAGTCACTATCTTGTCCATAGCAATAAATACATCGATCTCCCACAGGAGAACAGGGAGTGCGAAGACAGCTGTGGACAAAAACACAGAAGAATGAAGCATTAGGATTAGAGCCCGAGATGGAGCTGAGGTTTTCAAGTAGCAGAGGCAGTAGTTAAGGTTGAGTTTTGAAAAGGTTGCTCTGGTTAAATAGTGCAGAATGGGAGAAGGCACACATATGGGCCGCCATCTAGGCGAGAAAGCAGCATTCCCAAGATGAGAGGGGCCTCAATGGGGCTCAAATGAGGTTGGGGTGATTACAAGCACAGCATCCATGCCAGAGACATGATTGTCCTCCCATAGGAAATGTCTTCTCTTTGAAGAGCAAAGGTGGCAAAGTGGCCAGCTCTCCACTTTAAAACATTTTTAATAAGTTGCCAACATTTCTTTTAATTGAGTATAATTGGCATAAAACGTTATGTTTTTTAAATGTCTTTTATTGATTTCAGAGCGGAAGAGAGATAGAAATATCAATGAGAGTCATTGGTCTGCTGCCTCTCGCATGCCCCCTATTGGGGATTAAGCCTGCAACCCGGGCATGTGCTCTGACCAGGAATTGAACCATGATCTCCTGGTTCATAGGCCAATGCTCAACCACTGAGCCGCGCCAGCCAGGAAAACATTGTGCTAGTTTTTTGCATACAACACAATGAGATGGTATATGTATATGTATATTTTGAAAAACAATTACTACAATAAGTTTAGTTGGCATCCATCACTGCATATAGTTACAATTTTTTTTTATTGTGATCAGAACTTTTAAGATTTACTCTCGAAGCAATTTTCAAATATACAGTACAGTATTGTTGGCTGTAGTCACCAGGCTGTACATCTCCAGGACTTTTAACTGGAAGTTTGTACCTTTTGGTCACCTTCAGCCATTTTGTCTATCATTTGCCAACTTTACAAATTCATAAGATTTCACATGAAATTCCAATTTGGGGCTTTTCTTGGAAGAATCATAGCTCTCACAGCAACAGCCCTGCATTTTTGCACGGCAATGCTGCAGGAGCTGAGTAGTCACTACTCTCACTCTTCATTTTGTCACCATCCCCTACGGCTTTCATAAGTGTCAGTTGCAATCCACTATCTTGCTGAGCTGGCATTTTCTTACTGTACTCCTGCTCCATTCATTTCCATTACCTGTTACCTTTTGTTTGTGATT